ACACACACACACACACTCATGAGCTGGATACCCTTAGATGTGGATCTTTTTAGATTTTTGTATCTAAAATGGTAAAATATCTATCTGACTGTTTGAACTTCTTTAAAGCTCACATACAACAGTTTAAACACGTGTTAAAAGAAAGTCAGAGGTTTCCAATGATACTAAACTTATTTGCAAGTTTTCATGCAATGTATAAAATACATTTTTGGCTTTTATTTTTCTGAAAATGTTGCTTTGTTGAAACATTTTCTCCCCGCACAAAGTTCAGGCATTATTCACACGTTTTTAGCACCATTTTCTGTCCAATTGTCTAAGTCTCCTAAGATACCAAATCAATCAGATTGATGTTTAATATAATTTAAACCTGTTGTTTTTAAATAATGTTTCAGGGTTAGGTAAGCAGGGAAATATCAATATAGATATTGAGATGGTCTTGTGTGTGTTAACCCTTGTGTTGTGTTCGAAAGCTGTTACCGTTCATGGTGTTCGCGGGTACATTCTGACCCATGATTTATCTCAGTCCAAGAAAAAAAGAAAAATGACTATCATCCAATATTGTTTTAACTACATCATAACTAACTTATAATGCATTCATAACCGCACAATCCTGTTGTAGTTTAATGTTATGGCCCCAAAACACATTACACCACATATTGCACACGTGCATGTGTGTGTTCAGGTTCAAGTGTTAGTGTGCATATTCTTTGAGAAAGGTGGAGTTCCCGTGGGGGGAGGGGGGCAGAGGGAGGGGAGACCAGGTGCATGTAGCAAACAATTATTGTTACAGTGGATGAAGGGGGGGAGGGGTGTCTAAAGTCAAAGATGAATCTTGATTGGGCAAAATTTGACCTCGAGTCACCCACAACATGCTGCTGGGTCTCCCCGTCTCCCCAGACCCCAACACCAAATGATACACTTTGTTTTTAGAGACCTTCAGACTCGGCTAAAATAATCAAAATCTGTTTTGTAGTGTTTATATATCTGTTGTGGAGGATATCATGAAGCCTTGTTCCGATACAACAAACTAGAGCGTAGCTATTATATAATTTAAACTTGAAACGGCTCACGGGAGACCCCAACACAACATAAGGGTTAAGTATATGAACACACACTTCTAAATATCAAGAAACCCCAAAACATGATTTCTGCAGCTGCTTTTGCTTCCAAGGAGAAATAGAAAATGTTTCTATCGTGTTGTTGTTGTTGTTGTTGTTGTTGTTGTTGTTGTTGTTGTTGTTGTGAAGGAGTCTCTACTGTCATTACTGCTGCATGGTGTCATTACCTGCTGTTAAACCTTCAAACTACAGGTCATTACTGACCGCTCTAAAAGCACCTTTTCTCAGGCGTTTCATTATCTCCCCCAGCAGCTCGGTTTGAATCAGAATCAAGATCATTGCTCTCCATTTTCACATCACACAATGAATAACCTTTGTGTGACATTCATGAACTCAGTAACATAAATAAAAATGGAAAAATAAGAGCTAAAACTTGTTATAATTAAATATTTTAATAATAAATACAATTATTTAAAAAAAAAATATATATATACAAAAATTAAAAGAAAACATGGCAAATGACAGTAAAACACTTTAAGAAGTTGTAGTATTTTGCACATATGTACGAAATTGTCAGCGTGATGTGCAAAGCAGAGTACAGTGGCAGTGGCTCAGTCAGTAGGGGCTTAGACTGTGAGCCTAGGGTCGCCGGTTCAAGTCCCCGACCAGACCTAAAGATGGAGTGTGGTCTACTACTTGGAGAGGTCTCAGTTCACCTCCTGCCCTGCCGTGGTGCCCTTGATCAAGGCACCGGACACCCGCCTTCCCCCCTCACTCCCATTGCTCCCCGGGCGCTGTGCAATAGCTGCCCACTGCTCCTAGTGCTAGACTCCTGGTGCTAGGATGGGTTAAAAGCAGAGAACACATGTCACTGTGTATTCTGCATGTGAGAACATTAACGAGGGGTTCATCCCTCCTGATTCTAATCTAATAAATTATAAATAAAGAAAATACAAATAAAAAAACTGAACATGTGGTGAGAGACATGTAGGCAAAAAAGACCCAAAAGATAGTTAACATTGATAATAGTAGAGTAAATCAAATGGTTAACAAAAGATGGAAAATATATCGACTAAATAATAAATACCTTCTGGTGCAGCAGTGCGTGAATGCTAGTGTTAGCTACTTTAAGTCATTTACTACAGACGTTTTTTCTCCTTGCACAGTTTGGCTCTTTTAGTCTAACGCATAAACCTTTCCACCAACATTTCATTGAGTCATGTTTTTGTTGTTGTATTTCCATGCATTAGCTCTTGCAAAACGCTCGGTAACTCGATGCCAATTTTGACATTAAAGCATCGTCTCGGGTTGTTTGGCCTTCAACAGAAATCAACCGTCACATTTGCAAGCCGAGGCTCCCGTCTGCGACTTTGCATATGAATAAAATCCTCCGATGCTAACGTTGGCTAAAAAGCGTGAGCGCGAATCGTTCTTCTTCTCTTGTCGCACGCCATCATTGTTTTCGGCTAACCGACTCTTTTGCGTGCGACGTGACGGTGGCGCCTACGACTCTTTTCACTCGTGCACACATTTGTTTTTATGTAAAATTGTATTGTGAAGGTTTAAGAGAATTAAAAGCATGTGGGTTTGGATTGAAAGAGAAACTCAACGTTAGATTTTTTACCGACAGATTTACGGCACGGCAACGCGTCCGATAAACAAATTAGCTTCTCGCTCCTGCAATCAAAAATCAAATCCCTCAAACACTTCAGGAAAATGAGACGAACCCACATGGGAAAACGTTCTTTTATAAAGACCAGCGGGTAATATTTCACTCGTGTGTTAGCAGGAACATTTTAGGTATGCAAAGGTAACGAATGAATGCACGCTCTTTGTGTTAGCACAGGTGGAAAACAGCAATACTTTTATTTTACTGTATTTTCAAACAGTCAAATTAAATCTAAGTTACTTCAATTAAATATAATACAGTAATGAATGTATTTCTGTTTTATTTAATACATTTAATAACCAAGAAACGTTTTAATTTTGCCTTATTTTGATCGATAGCATTAGTTTTCTAACCTAAAGCTAATACAAAATGTCCACCATGTCAGCACGTCCTTCTTTTGTTTAAAACCAACGTATTCAGGTTATAACGAAACACAACTAAATGTAAGAAACAAGATAATGAGTGAATGACCTACAAAAGTGGCAAAACATATACATTTATAATAATAATGAAAGTTTAATTGGATAATATACAACGTGATTTCAGTCTAATGTAGTTTATACAAAAAATGTAATAATTAATAATACAAATTGTAGCTAACAAAAGATCAAATAATATGAGAAATAATCGTCTTAAAAATCATCAAAGGCTTTGAGCTTCAAGACAAAAACTGAGAAAAACTAATGATAAATATTTCTAAAAACATATTTAGATATTTCTGAGGACTTTTGTTGCAATTACGTCGAGTTTGTGGTAAAATGTTGAGTCAGGCTTTAGTCTGCGGCGTAACTGCAGATCGAAACACACACACATAGTGTTTGTTCAGATTACACAGAAATACCAGAGGGCAAACAGCAACACACCCACCACACCACACACACACAAAAAAAAAAAAACAAAAAAAAAAAAAAAAACAAAAAAAAAACAAACAAAAAAAAAAACAAAAAACACAACCACAACAAAAAAAGACAAAAAAAAAAAAAAAACACACACCCAAAACACACACAGAAAAACACCAAAACAAACACAGAAACCACAACACCAAAAACCCACACACACACCACACAAACACCCACCAAACACCAACACAAACACCAGACACACACACACACCCACAACAACACCCACACACACACACACTCCACACACACAATCCACCCACACAACACCACACACACACCCAACACACACAGACACCACACCCACACACACACAGACACACACACCCACACACACACCACCCACACAACACCCACACACACACAGACACACACCCACCACACACACAGGACACACACATCCACACAACACACAAAACAGACACAAAACCAACACACAAGAACACACACATCCACACACACCACACACACACCCACACACACACACACACACACACACACACACACAAGTCTCTTCGTGTCTCATGGCACGCTGTGAGGATCAGTTTTATGACATTTTGAAGTGTTTAAACAAAACACAACACCATTTTATTTATTTATTTTTGTTTTATTTCTCTCTGCATGTTTTGTTGGTAAATAAACACTTTGCAATATGTTAACAAAATATAGCAAGATAAAATAAGGAAAAATATGTAACTTAATAAAAACCATGCAGTTATGTCACGATTTTAGTTTTGTCTTGTTATGGGTTTTATTTTGTCATTCTGTTCTCCCGGTGTCTGGTCTTCCTTCCTGTGTCTGATTGTCTGATTGTGTTCACCTGTTGCCCTTGTGTTTCTCCCTCTTGTCCTGTGATTACCCCTCTGTGTATTTAGTCCTGTGTTCCTTGTCGGTTCATTGTCTATCCTGTGTCCCTCCATGTTGGTCAGTTGTTGTGTTGTTGCTACCTTGTACTGTGTGTTTCATGCCATGTTTTTGTTCATCAGCTCTTAATTAAAGCTCGCTTTTTGTTCCTGGACCTGTTTACCTTTTTTTGTATTCTGCATTTGGGTCCTACCTTTTTCCACGCATTCTAACAAATCTATAAAGTTAGGTTGTTTGCTTTGAAGAATAGAAGAATATGGCAAATTTATAAGCATCGTCATTTATTCATGTATATATTATTCACTTAAAATCCACTGCTTAAAGTATTTGTTTCTTTATGTATGTATTTGCTTTAAGTCATTTTATTATTCTTTAATGCACACTTAATATGTTTACTTGAGTGAGGTTTTGAATGCAGGACCTTTATTGTCACAGAGTTGAGTCAGTACTTGAATGCTGTTTCTTCCACTGCTTGATATCTCAGAGTGTTAACCCCCGTGTTGTGTTCAGGGGACGACGGTAGTCCGGAGAACATGCTTCTGCACGGCCCGTTCTCCAGGAAACCCAAACGCATCCGGACGGCATTCTCTCCGTCTCAGCTGCTGCGTCTGGAGCGAGCCTTCGAGAAAAATCACTACGTGGTCGGAGTCGAGAGGAAACAGCTGGCGAGCACACTCTGCCTCACAGAGACTCAGGTGGGTGTCATGGGAAACTGAGGGGGGAGCAGGGCATTATGGGTAACTGAGGAGGGCATCATGGGGAAATGAGGAGGGCATCATGGGGAAATGAGGGGGGCATTATGGGTAACTGAGGAGGGCATCATGGGTAACTGAGGAAGGCATCATGGGTAACTGAGGAGGGCATCATGGGGAAATGAGGAGGGCATCATGGGTAACTGAGGAGGGCATCATGGGGAAATGAGGGGGGCATTATGGGTAACTGAGGAGGGGCATCATGGGTAACTGAGGAAGGCATCATGGGTAACTGAGGAGGGCATCATGGGGAAATGGGGAGGGCATCATGGGTAACTGAGGAGGGCATCATGGGGAAATGAGGGGGGGCATTATGGGTAACTGAGGAGGGCATCATGGGTAACTGAGGAAGGCATCATGGGTAACTGAGGAGGGCATCATGGGGAAATGAGGAGGGCATCATGGGTAACTGAGGAGGGCATCATGGGGAAATGAGGGGGGCATTATGGGTAACTGAGGAGGGCATCATGGGTAACTGAGGAAGGCATCATGGGTAACTGAGGAGGGCATCATGGGGAAATGAGGGGGGCATTATGGGTAACTGAGGAGGGCATTATGGGTAACTGAGGAGGGCATCATGGGTAACTGAGGAAGGCATCATGGGGAAATGAGGAGGGCATTATGGGTAACTGAGGAAGGCATCATGGGTAACTGAGGAAGGCATCATGGGTAACTGAGGAGGGCATCATGGGTAACTGAGGAGGGCATCATGGGTAACTGAAGATTCAAGACTTTTATTTTTGATTGATTGATACATTTTATTTCGAAAAAGTAAAATAAATAATTACAAAACAAATGTTGCAGTGCATAGTCATGTAAGAGAAATCAAAACAAAAAATGACATTTACACCAACAACAACAGCATTGGCAACATAAACAGTGCCACATCTAGTGTTTGAAAAGGATTGAGAAGAAGTATAACTTATTTAATCTCACCCCCTTGTCCCTAAATGATTTATTTATAATCTTTAATCTGCAATAATTATCATTATTATTAATTATTATTGTTATTATTATTATGAATCAGCTTTACCTGTTGATTGACATATATACATACTCACACATATACACATAGTCAAACACCTTCCTCATCCCTGTACCTCGAGAAAAGGTACATTTCATACAATTTCTCTGTATTTCTTCTTGAACTGGTTAATGTCTGGAGATGGCTTTAGCTTTGTACAAAGCTGCAGTGTAGATATGTCAATGAAAATCTGAGGTCACAGGCTCCTCCAACAGTGCAACATAATATAATAAAACATACAGAATAGTTAACTGAGGAGAGGGAGGAGGGCATCATGGGTAACTGAGGAGAGGGAGGAGGGCATCATGGGTAACTGAGGAGAGGGAGGAGGGCATCATGGGTAACTGAGGAGAGGGAGGATGGCATCATGGGTAACTGAGGAGAGGGTGGAGGGCATCATGAGTAACTGAGGAGAGGGTGAAGGTCATCATGGGTAACTGAGGAGAGGGTGGAGGGCATCATGGGTAACTGAGGAGAGGGAGGAGGGCATCATGGGTAACTGAGGAGAGGGAGGAGGGCATCATGGGTAACTGAGGAGAGGGAGGAGGGCATCATGGGTAACTGAGGAGAGGGAGGAGGGCATCATGGGTAACTGAGGAGAGGGTGGAGGGCCATCATGGTAACTGAGGAGAGGGAGGAGGGCATCATGGGTAACTGAGGAAGGCATCATGGGTAACTGAGGAGAGGGTGGATGGCATCATGGGTAACTGAGGAGAGGGAGGAGGGCATCATGGGTAACTGAGGAGAGGGAGGAGGGCATCATGGGTAACTGAGGAGAGGGAGGAGGGCATCATGGGTAACTGAGGAGAGGGAGGAGGGCATCATGGGTAACTGAGGAGAGGGTGGAGGGCATCATGGGTAACTGAGGAGAGGGAGGAGGGCATCATGGGTAACTGAGGAGAGGGAGGAGGGCATCATGGGTAACTGAGGAGAGGGAGGAGGGCATCATGGGTAACTGAGGAGAGGGTGGAGGGCATCATGGGTAACTGAGGAGAGGGTGGAGGGCATCATGGGTAACTGAGGAGAGGGAGGAGGGCATCATGGGTAACTGAGGAGAGGGAGGAGGGCATCATGGGTAACTGAGGAGAGGGAGGAGGGCATCATGGGTAACTGAGGAGAGGGTGGAGGGCATCATGGGTAACTGAGGAGAGGGTGGATGGCATCATGGGTAACTGAGGAGAGGGAGGAGGGCATCATGGGTAACTGAGGAGAGGGTGGATGGCATCATGGGTAACTGAGGAGAGGGAGGAGGGCATCATGGGTAACTGAGGAGAGGGAGGGAGGGCAATCATGGGTAACTGAGGGAAGGAGGAGGGCATCATGGGTAACTGAGGAACAGGGAGGAGAGGCATCATGGGTCAACTGAGGAGAGGGTGGAGGGCAATCATGGGTAACTGAGGAGAGGAGGAGGGCATCATGGGTAACTGAGGAGAGGGAGGAGAGCATCATGGGTAACTGAGGAGAGGGTGGAGGGCATCATGGGTAACTGAGGAGAGGGAGGAGGGCATCATGGGTAACTGAGGAGAGGGAGGAGGGCAATCATGGGTACTGAGGAGAGGGAGGAGGGCATCATGGGTAACTGAGGAGAGGGTGGAGGGCATCATGGGTAACTGAGGAGAGGGAGGAGGGCATCATGGGTAACTGAGGAGAGGGTGGAGGGCATCATGGGTAACTGAGGAGAGGGTGGAGGGCATCATGGGTAACTGAGGAGAGGGAGGAGAGCATCATGGGTAACTGAGGACAGGGAGGAGGGCATCATGGGTAACTGAGGAGAGGGAGGAGGGCATCATGGGTAACTGAGGAGAGGGAGGAGGGCATCATGGGTAACTGACGGTATGTCATAAAAAGTACTAAAAAGTCAAACCATTTCAAAAGCTCAGAAGCAAAGTCTCAGTATATCTTCATAGAATAAATACCTGACTGTGTTTGTACTTTCTGAGACACACACACTTTGCCTTCACTGTCATTAGTTCTAATAGTTATCTTGAGTTCATGGGAGTGCAGTTCCTCTGCCGCTGCCTTGCTCAACAGCCGTCAGTCAGACTCATCGTTTTCCACGGTGATGTCACAAGCGCCTGGCGGAGCTCCAGCTGACAGGAAGTGAGCGTTGGTTAGTCAGCGCTGATTGGGGTGTTTTTGCTGCGTTGCTTCGGAGTCCTGACGCCAGTGAATCACCTGGGATCGTTATGATCTCACTGCAGAGACATAATCCATCAATCAGGAGGGATTAGTCACTTCTGCAATCACTGACGAGCTTCTTCAGCCAACAACTGTTTCAAAACTTTAATAAACAGACGTCAACTTTCTTTCCACGGCTGAGTGGAAGAAAAATATTTAGCTTAATCCGCCGCAGAGAGAAATGAGTGCTAATAGACGATCTATCAATAATCCTTAATGTTTGAATAACTATTTATGTAATGTTATTAATCCTTGTAATGTTATACTCATTTATTAATGCTTTACACAGTGTAGAACTAATTAACAAAGCTTTTCATTTCATGATATTCACCTTTTATTTAATCTAAAGATTAAGCTTTTGTTTTTTTTAAATGATCCACCACTGGACAACCTTTCTTTTCGTTTAGATGACGTCATTTAACATTCAAACACTTTTCACCCCCCGTCAAGCAATTTACAAAGTCACTACAGTAACACAACAATGTACACATTTAAAATAAATCATAATTATTTATTTAAACCATGTAAAATGCAAATACCACAAGCTTTACACATTATGAGAATTAAAACCAAAGCTTCTAAGGCAGGGGGGTCAAACTCAAACACACAGTGGGCCAAAATAAACAAATGGGTACTAGTGGAGGGCCGGACTGGTTCAATGTTTATTGCAGAAGTTATTGAAATGAACTTATTGCACATATTAAACCTGGAACTAACAAAGCCTAAATTATTGCCTACAAAAACAACATTAAACATTAAATAATCAGTTGCATTTCTTATGGCTCTATCTGCAGCTTTTCCAGAGTCATTTCTTATGATTACATTTCCCCACAGGCCAACAACAGCTTCAACAAAACTATTCCCCTCAAAGAACAAACCAAACATGCCCTGTTGTCTCAAGAGAGAAAGTGCAGAAGGAAACATCCATTGAACTCAGGGTGCTGCTCTGTGATGCTAGTTCAGATACTTGGCATCTCATCTCGGGTGCAAGGTCATCAATGTTTGGGCTCAGGCTCTGAGAGGAGGAGACCCTCAGGATGGAGTGAAGGTGTGCGTGCAATATACCGGCGGGCCAGATCTAATAGTAATTAGAAATGATCCTGCAGGCCGAAATTAAATCCACCACGGGCCTGATTTGGCCCCCGGGCCTTGAGTTTGACACATGTGTTCTAAAGTAATAAGCAGTCTGACTTCAATTTGATTTATTTCTCAGTGAGGACCAGACTGCAGAAACACATAATTCCTTACATTTATTATAGCGCTTTTCCAGATGCTCAAAGCGCTTTACAAATACACATTACACGTATCATACATGCAATGGTCATGTACACACACACACACACACACACACACACACACACACACACACACACACACACACACACACACACACACACACACACACCACACACACACACACACACACACACACACACACACACACACACACAAACACACACATAAACACAATTAAACACACACAGTCATACGGGTTGATTTCAGTCGTTTAATTAACTGCAAATGGTGCGTTCAGGTGTCTTTTTTGCATTAAATGGCTTATAGATCAACAGTTAGAACTTATTTAATCAAAATGTTTCAGCTGATTTGTTGTAATTTACCAGTCCTTTATGAACTCTAACTAAATGTGTGTGTATGATACGAATACCACCAGCTCTACACAGTATGATAATTAAAACCAAAGCTTTTAAAGTAACAAGAAGTCTCAGGCTCAGAGCGCAGCCAAACAATGAAACCCCCTGACATATATCTTTCCTTCTGAGTTTAAACTGTCAATATTGAATCATAATTACCCGTCAGATATTAATGATTCACCTGAGGGCCGAGCTGTCGTTCAGATTGAAAGGCAGAGCGCTGAGTGAGATCTCAGGTTGCACAATGTGTCAGACAGGACGTGTTTTAACAGTCAGGCGCATGTTTTACCAGCTATCAGATATGAAATCACTTCTAGCTTCATCGCTGTCAGTGGCTGATAGCAGAGCTAAAAGGTGACTCACTACATGTTGCGTCTATGGCATGTTTTATTTCAGACTAATGGAATGGAAACATTTAAATCCACTTTCAGGAGTTTATTTGAATAACTTTGTCTATTTGTGCTGTTGATCTCTCCTGAATTCACTCAAAGTTAGAAAAACACAATGCCTCATTTACATCTTAAAACATAACACCTCAGGAAACCTTTACCTGTATTAACACACACATTAAATGAGGATTTTACTGTTTTCTACACACAAATCTGGTGGTGATTTTACCTGTTTTTACACACACATGTAATGATGATTTTACCTACAGTATATAAACACACACCTGTAGCAATGATTTTACCTGTAGGGATGATTTTACCTGCATTACCTTACACACACCTGTAATCATAATTTCACTTGTTTAAACACACACCTGTAGTGAGGATTTTACACACATTAACACACCTGTAGTTATCTATCTACCTGTACTAACACACACCTGTAGTGAAGATATTACCTGTACTAACACACACCTGTAGTGAGGATTTTACACACATTAACACACCTGTAGTTATCTATCTACCTATATTAACACACATATGTAGTGGTGTACTTAACTGTATTAACACACATATGTGTTGATATGTTTACCTGGGTGGTGAATATATATTACCTGTATAAACACACACCTGTAGTGATTTATTTACACACATATGTTGTGACGTATTTACCTGTATTAACACACCTGTAGTGACGTATTAACACACACCTGTAGTATGTGTTTACCTGTATTAACACACCTCTAGTGACGTATTTAACTGTATTAACACACCTGTAGTGATGATTTTACCTGTATTAACACAGTGTTGATTGTACCTGTATTAACACACCTGTAGTTAACCATCTACCTGTATTAACACACCTGTCTCTCTCTCTCTCTGCAGGTGAAGGTCTGGTTTCAGAACCGCAGGACGAAGCACAAGCGTCAGAAGTTGGAGGAAGAGTCTCCTGAAGCGCTGCAGAAGAGGAAGGGCAGTCAACACATCAATCGCTGGAGGGCGGCCACACACCAGCCGGGGGGCGGGGGGGAGGACGTGGACGTGCTCAGCGAGGACTAGACTGCAGACACACACACATGAACACACACATACACACATAAACACACACATATACACACACAGTCATACTGGTTAGTGTTAGACATCCAAAAGTGTGTTCAGGCGACTTTTTCAAGTTTACAAAGCTTTTAGATCCACAGCTAGACCGAATTCAATCAAATGGTCCATTAGGTGCATAAAACATGCAGTCATTTGGCCAAACATTTACTAATCTAAGCCTTAACTGTTGCACGAATGTTGGTAGAATATAACTACAACTACTGCAATGAGAAATACATTGAACTACTAACATTTGCATAAATAAAAAATAACACATGTGGTCTAAATAATGCACCAAAATACAAAGTGTGTCACGCTGTTGATAGAGAAAGAGCGCTAAACCTCCTGACTGTTTAAAATTAAATGTTGGAATTAAAGGGACAACATACTTTTGTAAAAGGCGGACCCTGAACACACCACATGCCAACCTTAGTGTGAAGCAGTGAGGATGAAGATTCATATTTGATCTTGCCTCGTGCAAAAGTCTGCAGGAGGATTATACAGGACTCCAAACATACCTTACACAATTGGAAAGTTACCAAATGTATCTTTGTATAACAGAGGATATGGCGTCCGTGTTTTAACACTGCTGACAAGCCAACAGGTGGAGGCAGGTGATTCTGCAAATCTGCCAAAAACATGCAGGGTAACAATGATGAGTTTATTAATCTGTATCAAATATTAATTTACAGTTTGATTACGGCTCAGCTCAAAGATGCATACTGTGTCTAAATGTCTCACTAAACTGGTAAGATAGACAATGTAAAACAGACACACTGTTAAACTCTTAATTACAGTAATATTCTGACATTAAATGTTAAGTTTTGGATAGTTTTGAATACTCTTATCAGATGAATAACACACCCACAACACACATCTACACAGAACATGCATACACATCTCACCTTCCCGAGGACTGATGGATGTCCCTGAAGGCATCACGCTCATGCAAACAGCAGGAGGTCAAAACTCTGCTGTGAAAGACGAGGATAAAAAAAAGAAGACACTTTGATCAGCCACAAAGGATGGCTACAAACACTGAACCTCCCTTTTGGAGTTGGACTGAAGAGGATATTCAACGCTTCCGAGAGGCGAAAAATAAAAATAAACGGGACACCAAACGCAGCTGTTGACTGTCGGTGGATTTTATTTGGTGCCAAACGAAAAGCCAGAGTTTCCTGGAAAAAAAGAAAGGATTAAAGTGAGAGAGGAAGCTGGTTTCTGAGCGTCTGTCCGCGACAGACGGCCGCCGGCTCGCAGGAAGTCTGCTCAGCTGAACAACACGTCTGAAAAGAGGAAAATATGGTTCCTCCGACGGAGAAGAAGGAACTGAAAAAGTTTTCTGTAACATTTATCTGCAACGATTTGAAATAATGATCCACCTTGAACACTGTCATGTGCCAACAAAGCATCTTGGTGTGATGCTCTTCACACTGCAGGGTTTTAACTTTATTTGCATCAAAATGTCACGTTTTTACACTCGGAGAATCTGAATTTGAGTTTTACGATAAGAGCAAGGTACAACGTGGTCTTTGTCAACTTGTTAAATTGTTAAATAATCATGGAATCAACCACATTTAGCTTCTGATGAATGGGATGATTGGTCACATTTATGATATGATTATAATAACGTAAATTGTCGCAAAAAAACAGTTTTTTAGGATTTAACCAATTGTTTCTGTGTTATTTGACCACAAAAAATGACGATTTGTTTTTAAATCACACTGTTTTAAGTCACTTGCATGCCTCCACAGTGAACCACAGGCGAGCTGGCAAAGCATCATGGGAAGTGTAGTTGCTTTACAAGTTGACAAAGACACGTTTATTCTCTTAATTGAATAAGCAGAACATCACAGACTGAATATATTTAACAAATGGAGTTTAATTTATGAATTAAAAGTCACACTTCCTGTTGGAGGAACCTGATATTTCTTTTCACAAAGTATTTTCTGCAGAATCACCCCAAATGGAAAAATATTTACCTCTAACATGTTTGTATAACCCTGACTATATTTAATATTGTTTTTATTGTCAACAGATATCACGGCTCTCAGCTCCAAGCCCATTGACATCAACATTTAGAAACACTTATAGTTCCGTTGTTTAAAAAAAGGCTTAAAACATTTCCTCGAAAGGATGGAAATAGTGCCTTTGGGACTATTTTACGTGGCTTATCATTCCTTTTTTAAATGGGGTTTGTTGACAAGAATACAAATATGAAATCATGCATCCTTCAGGATTTATATTACATTTTTCAGGGCGGGATTTTTAATTCAGCGGCATCAGAAACCAGCTTTTTATTCTACCGGTAGTTTGTTTTGGGTGTTTTTGGAAACACAAGAAAAAGTAGGTATTTATGTAAAAAAAAGTATTCTATGCATCTGATGTGTATATAATGATAATAATAATAATATGGATAATGGATTTTTGTTTTTCACTGCATACGTTCATCTGTTTGTTTCTTTTTCATGGACAGATTTACCTCATCATCTCCTTATGTAGCACTTCTTCTTAGTCAAATCTATTTTTTCATCGTTTTAGGATCGAATGCACTAACTGTACGCCTCGTGTCCTTTCCTCGGAACGAAAGGGACGGAAAACGACAGAAGCTTTGTACTTCCTGTGCGGACATTTGGAAAAATATAAATAAAATGAGATTGAAATCAAACGTTATGTCTGTGTGGTTTGAAGTCTGAAATTGTGAAGATAAATTGGGTTTTCTTCGAGAAATATAGTTATTTTTTATGCGAAAAATGCTTATGCCTATGATCTGGTAGATTTTTTGTTAAGTGAAAATTAAGACAGATTATTGATGTGAGGGAGTTTCTTTTTAATACTTGTTTTTATAAATAATATCACAGCTTTTAATTTAATTTTAATTTTGAAACATTTAATACAAAGTTAAGTACAACCAAAACATTCAGAGTTTGTTATCCTTTTACTTATTTAATATATTGTATTAAAGGGGACCTATTATGCAAAATGCACTTCTTGATGTCTTTTATACATCAACATGTGTCCCCGGTGTGTCAGGGAACTCACGCAGCGTCAGAAAATAAAGCCCTCTCTCTTTTCCTCCGTACCCAAATCTCTAAAAAAAGGGAACAACGAGCTGATCCAGATTTGCGTCCGATATGACGTCATATCTGAAATGTGGACCCACGGCCCAATCAGAATCGTTGCTATCAGAAACAATGCCCGACTGTTTTGGACGTAATATGGTCGGTGTTTACATTAGCATCGCTAACACTCAGAGCTAACCTGTACTGGAGAGCATGTGTGTGAAGAAGCAGGAAGTAAAAAGGAACTCACCTTGTGGTATAACCGACAAGAGAGAAAGCCTTTGAGCTCCAAACTGTTTCAGAGAGAATCCTTGATAATCCATGATATGGCGTTTCATCACCGCAGTATTTAGTTTAGACAGTAGCTGCCGGGTCCCGCATGAGCTCAGACTCCTCCTCTTTTTAATTTGTATCAATACTTTTTTTTAAAGCTTTATTCCCCAAATCAGCATTTTTGAAACAGGAAGTGAAATAGAGGGATATGAGGCGTGGCTAGAATGGGTGATCTGTTTGGTATTTTGAGCAAAACACTTCATAGACATGTTTTTTCTATATTTTTCTATATTTTTCTATATCTATGCTATTGCCTAAAAATAGCATGATAGGTGACCTTTAAAGTAATTATATTTGTTTAGATGTATTCATTCATTGTGTTTATTTACAATCACAATAGTTAGTAGCCATAACATTGACATTATTTCAATTGTTTGTAATTACATGTTTTTAACTGGAAGAAACAATGAAAAACTGTTATCAGATTGTATTAATATATTTCTAAAACCAGGTGTAAATTAGTGAAAGATCTCTATCAAAGTGAAACATAACTGAACCACATAAACCCCCCACTTCCTACCTGCTTCATGTTGGTGTTGTTGCCGTGGAAACGCGTTCATATTCACAATGAGGAGTAGCAGATGGCGTGTAGGTGCACGCCTGACAGCAACAAATGATCACTCCCTTTAATCTGCACCGAGTCCAAGTGAAGCTACGGTTATTCATTTCAATTATCAAAGATACTGAAGGAGGTTTGGAGGAGGCTGATGTATTCAGATTTATATTCATATACACTGAATAAACTGAGACGAGGACTTTAATTAAATGTATTATGTCAACAGATTTCACATAACTGCATTAGGTTAGTTGAAAGCAATGATATTAAGATAAAATAAGAAATATTGGGTCCAACTTAATGAAGCTCAGCGCAAGTTCAACCAGGAAGACTGTCTTTACTCATTCATTTACTATTTCCACGTATACTCTCTCTCCTCTCAATAAGTGATCGGGGGCGTCACTCCCCATCTTAACCAATCACTTTGCTCTATTCTCTCAAGCCTATCATAGCGCTCCGCTAACCCTTTCAAATCTGCTCTCCCCTCTGACAGCTGTCATTTCAGGTGACTCGACGCAACCCCCCTCCACCCCTTTTCACCTCCTGTTCCTCTGGATCCAGGGTCAAGCTAAGCCCCTCCCCTTCAGACCAACCCAACTATCCATTCACCACCACCAGGGTCAAGCTAAGCCCCTCCCCTTCAGACCGAACCCAACTATGCATTCACCACCACCAGGGTCAAGCTAAGCCCCTCCCCTTCAGACCGAACCCAACTATGCATTCACCACCATCAGGGTCAAGCTAAGCCCCTCCCCTTCAGACCGACCCCCAACTATCCATTCACCACCACCAGGGTCAAGCTAAGCCCCTCCCCTTCAGACCGAACCCAACTATCCATTCACCACCACCAGGGTCAAGCTAAGCCCCTCCCCTTCAGACCGACCCCAACTATCCATTCACCACCACCAGGGTCTAGACCCCGGGGGGTTTCATCGGATCGGTTCTCCCCTCCCGAATGATACTGCTGCACAACGGGGCCTAAGCGCCAAAACTCCATTACATTCATTTGTGTATTCCTGGCAATAAATATGTGTTCTTACATCAAAGCCGTCTCTCCTGATTGAACTAGTATTGCTTTCAACTAACCTAATACAGTTATGTGAAATATGTTGACATAATACATTTAATTAAAGTCAACGTTTCAGTTTTTCAGTGTACTTTGAATAATGGCGAATGTAAAGCTGAGAGGATGTTTTTGTTGTTGATCAGATGATGGGAGAACTGACAGCGTCAACAAAACAACAAATAGACACAAATTTTTTTTAGAGAAAATTGATAATCATTCCTGCAAAATGAAAGATATCTTGAAAGGATGTATTGCAGTGGAATAACTGTAATGATGAGGTGAGTTGATCTAAACTGAAACTATTATTTAGAAACCAAATCATGAATGGCTCTGAGCAGGACCTGTGAACTCATGCTTGTTATTTCTTTTCATTGTAAAACTCATTTCTTTTTTGGTTTTTTTGTACCAAAAAAAGTATTTGTTTACAACATGACGAACATGAGGCTGATGACGATGACCTAAGCAGAAACAAAATGTACGCCAGAGGGGGAGGACCAGAAACGTTTTTTAACCTTCTTCTTGACCCTGTTGTACCTTGAACATTTTTGTACCTTGAACATTTTTTTTGTTTGTTTTGTTTTGCATTTCTTTGTTATAATTATTATTATATATATAACAACAAAAGGTTTCTGACATGTTCAATAAATTGACTAATAATAAATCTGTTGCAATCTGTTGGTAATATGAACAAGTATATTTTCTGTAGCGGAAACTTTCACGGGAATAAGTACAGTGGCCGACAAGTGGCAACGCGATACGACGGCCCAGAACATTTCCATTAGGAGAAACAGGGCCGGCCCTGACCAATTTGCCGCCCTAGGCAAGATTTTAGCTGGCGCCCCCCCCCCCCCCCCCCCGGTAGTGGCATGACCACCAAAACAGAAAGATGCCCCCGGGAAGACTTTTTTTTAAAATATTGAAGTTAAAGCATCAATCTGGTGCACTTTGAGAGCAACATGAAGAGATCTATGGATACATCTCTCAACACCCATATGAAACAGAACTGTAAACAGATTTTCTTTTTCTTTATGGATATTTTACAAATCACTCCCCTTTCAAACTGTATTCTTGTTTATTAATAACAACTTTTTTGTACTGTCAGTATTTTATACCTGTTTTTCATCTATTCTCTTATTTTTTTATAACTATAATGATCATATAGAGGTGTGCCTTTACCTCACTGAGCTGAGGTTATCAGAGCCTCTCAGTCTTTCAGGAGAGAGCTCTCTAAAGCTCTCACCCCCGCGGCCGCTTACAATGTAAATTCCAATGTTAATAAAAGCACACAGAAGCTGTGTATGTTTTTTGGGAGTTTGATTTATTTTAAATGAATACAAATACAAATACAAAATAAATTAAAACCTATAATTGCACACTAAAACCATTATTTAAAAAAAAAAACAATTTCACATAAACCTTTTTACTGGGACTGGGGCAGTTCAACTTGATTTTGGGGGGGTGTGCCATAGTTTATGGGCACTGTACACGTAGTTCTGTTAGTATAAGATAATAAGATGTACTTTGTTGATCCAAAATCGGGAAATTGTGTATTATGAAAAAAAAAAAAAACATTATTTTTAATTTCTAACTTTTTTTTTTCTTTTTTTCCCGGCGCCCCCTATGGGTTGATGCGCCCTTAGCATTCGCCTATACTGCCTATGCCGAGGGCCGGCCCTGAGGAGAAATGCGCTGTCGCTCTAAAAACAATTGAATTAATAAAAACACGAATGTGCAAAAACACATGCAAATGAAGAAACATCTTCACGAACTTGACAACACATGTACAGCGTTTACTAAAAGCTTTGCACGAACCAAGCACTGCAAGAATCTCAAAACACGACGGAAGTCATTTTAAATATAAACTAGACTAACTCTGCCAACAATTACAGGTGTCTCAGAGATATCATAAGTATAATAAGTAAGTTCATCAAGTGAAAGAAGGACATTCGTTACCTAAGTGAGCTTAGAAACAAGTCCTGTTTCTCGCTTGAGGCCAGGAAAAGTCACTGTGACCTTTTGACCTGTGCTGGACTATAGTGATCTGATCTATATGAATGCACCTGCCTCCTGATCAAGTTAGATGCCGCCTATCACAGTGAGCTGAGATGTGTTACTAACTGTAAAGTATTAACTCTTCACTGTACCCTGTATGCCAGAGCAGGTCTGCCTTCACTCACTGTGCAGAGGCTCAGTCACTGGTACATGTTGGGTAAACTACCATCTTACATCTGCTCTCTGATCACACAGTAGCTACTGCCTGAGATCTCATGCTGTGGTTTTGTTACATGTGCCAAGTGCTAGGACTGACTTAGGGACGAAAGCTTTAGATGCGCAGCTCCTCTAACTTGGAACGGTCTGCAAAAAGAATGGAAACTGAGCAATCTGGTTCCACTGCATGTTTTTAAAGCTCGGATAGATGCTATGCAATCGGATACTGTTGGTACCTGTAAATGTCGATAGGTATGTAAATGTAGCCCTGTAAATATGATGTTGTGTTATCTGTTGTTTTATGGGGTGTCGTTTTTCTCATACTGATATTCTGATCAATCTGTGCTGTTGTATTTGCTGTAAAGTGTCTCTACTGCAGGCTATTTTTATTCTATGTACAGCACTTTGGCTCGACCAAAAATCGTTTATAAATGTGCTGTATA